AGCACAAGATTTAGGGTTTAGGGTTTAGGGTTTAGGGGTTTTAGGGTTTAGGGTTTGAGGGGTTTTAGGGCGCAGGGCGCAGGGTTTAGGGATTTTAGGGTTAGGGTTTAGGGTTTAGGGGTTTTAGGGTTTAGGGATTTGGGGTTTTAGGGTTTAGGGATTAGGGGTTTTAACGTTTTAGGGTTTAGGGGTTTTAGGTTTTAGGGTTTGGGGGATTTTAGGGTTTAGGGTTTAGGGATTAGGGTTCAGGGCTTAGGGACTAAGGTTTTGGGCTAAACCCCAAACCCTAAACCCAACCCTAATCCCTAGGTTTAGGGTTTAGAAGGTTTCGCAAAGGTCTCTTCCCGGAATGAGCCAAAATTGCTGGGTGGGGACCTGACCCGATGTATGAATCAAGGCCAACAAGGTGAACCAAGAGGCAGGGTAGGCGTGGGGAGTGTAAACAAAGGTTGAAGGGTTTAGGGTTTAGGGTTTAAACTAGGGTCCGTAGTTACATACAATTGTTCCCACAATGTCTTGCGAAGCGAGCAGAGTGAGAGCAGTATGCATGAGATAGCGAGCGATAGTTGCAAGAGCAGGAAAGCATGGGAGCCCTTGAGAGGCAAAGCGGATGTGAATGATTGATCAAGTGCATAGTGCGCAGAAGCAGTGCAAGCATAAAGCTGGAGATAGGTTGACATGTCCAGAGTATGCATGTCACAACAAAAAGGACATGAAGTTGAAACAAAAGATGCACACGCGTACATGCGTGGCGCGGTGCAGTCACATCATGGACACGGTACTCGCATCGTCAAACATATCACGATGACTCTTCTGGCAATTGTATGCACGCTGATGGCTTCATGATGTCCCGGCGCTTGCTGTACTCATGAGTACTTGCTATGCCAAATTGTTGGAAACTCCCACATGCATTCCAAGAGTTCATGCCAGCAGGTGGAGCTCGACTCTAAGACGAGAGCCAGATCTTCTTGATGCTGAAGTAAGGCAATATGTCACTCCCAAGTTTTCTTATCTTGCTGGTGTTGTCGTTATCATCAATGTGATTTCAACTGTTATTTCTATCGGAATTCTAGACGGTTAAGCCCATGGTCAGAATAACAAACACTTCACTTGCTACCCTAGCCCGGCTCAGGCTTCGTGTACTCTGCCTTATTGGGTTATAGTACTAGTATACAGAATTCTCAACCATATCAATGACCCAGCAGAAACCATCAACATGATCGCGGAGTCAGGTTGATGGCCCAAAACCCAAGACCCTAAACCCTGAACCCTAAACCATGGACCCTAAACCCTAAACCCTAGACCCTAAACCCCAAAAACTATCTCTGGCCGTGCCGGGCTGATTTTGGCCATAACATCACGGCAAGGGAACTCACTGATAATTTTAGGTGTTCAGGGTTTAGGGGTTTAGGGTTTAGGGGTTTAGGGTTTAGGAGTTTAGGGGTTTAGGGGCTTAGGGTTTAGGGATAGGTGGGCCCCCCATCCTGTAATAGTGACTACAAGGGATAATATGGCTTGTATTAGGGTCCTTTTATATTCTCATTATACCACTATTGCAAGGCGGGGGTCCTCCTAACTGATATTTCTTTCCTCCAATAATGGAGACGCTTTTCGTTGTTATGAAGCCGATATGGAAAGCTCCTAATCCTGCAACCCTGAACCGGAAATCCATGACTAATGCAGAGGGGGGATTTCCATACTCAGGGCCTTACAGATCTTTGGGATTTCTGTAGTGTTGGCTATGGACTTGTGCTTGGGGAAACATGGCATGATGAGGTGCATGCATCTCCATCTGCCAGGAACCCTCAAGACACTGTTAGCTGCTGGTTGATGGGTTCTAACTTCCCAGTAATCCCACTTGAGAAGGGTACCCTCTTTCCCAATGTTCAGCTTTTATTAAGAAGATCCCCAAAATAAAGTGGGCACTTACTCGGTCAAACAGCTGGGCATCCTTGTGAGTTCTACCAGCTCCTAAGCGACATCCAGGAGCGAACGATGCTGCCTAGATCTCTGGCAGAACACATGCAAGATCCTAGAAGTCATATATCGCGTGCCTTGATAAACTCCCGGAAGGATCAAGTTAACCGATTTGCGGAACCCCTTACTTTTTGAAAAGCCCTCAAGGGCCCTAAGATATGTCAAAAAAACCTGGAATATGATGGGTTTAGGGACTTGCAAGAAGGGCTTGTGAAGCCCAACCCCTTCAGTGAGGACCCCATATGAGCCAGCATGGTAGCCAACTTGGAGGGTCATGGGGACTTAGTAAGTAGGTTAATAATGGGGATAATTGGGTTTATTATATGGCTTATAGTATAGGGGTTATTAACCTACGTACTAAGTCCCCCTGACTCTCCAAGAAAAGCTGTGTAATAGCGTCCTAGCTTTAGGGGTTCCAGGTCATAATGCCTGGCTGCAATATATATATATATAAGCACTCCAGCAATACACTGAACGAAGACACCGTAATAACACCCAAACTATATATGACCAACATTGCACCTGTAAGAGTCACAATAATCTATAGAGGTGGTTGTCAAAATGATGGTCCCTTTTTGGGTACCCTAAATATTAGGTGCCGTATTATAATAGGGACCCAAAAAGGGACCAGAATTCTGACAACCACCCATATAGCTAACTAACCCAGATCCTATCCTTATTTCGGATATCTGCGCACTGTCAGCAGGACTCTCGACCTGCAATTTCTGTCTCTGGAAAGAATGCTCGCAACCCGGGTACATCAAATCCTCGCAAATCGACTTGCAAACGGCCTTGGTTGCGAGGGTCGACCTTGCATAGAATCCCGCACCGATCGAGCAAATTCTGCAGCGATGCCTGTACATCTGATGTCTGCCATGATTTCCGCGACTTGCCCCAGCCCGTGATGATCTCGAAAGATGTGAGGCTCTGGCCCCTGGCTACTTTCCGTGGAACGATCTCAGCCAGCCACCACAGCACAGCTAGCACAGCTGAGCCACTGGAATGAGAGTGAAGATCCAGCGTTCGGCCAAGCTTGGTCCTCGCGAGCTTCCCGGAAAAGACCAAAGCTCAGTCTCTCTGTGAAAACCGCATCCAAAACCTGCGCATAAGATTCCTGGCTTGGTGTTTGGCCATTTGACACGATGCCTGAGAAGAGTGCCAGAGCACTGCGCCACTGACGTGCACCGCCGCATGCCGTGATTCCTGCACTGAAGCTTATCTCATTTGCTATGACTCTGGCTGCAGGCATCTGTGATAGCCAAAACAGAGCCATCTGCCACTCGCCACCTTTCTCACATGCGCTGATGCCTGCACTGAAGCTTATCTCATCTGCTATGACCCTAGCTGCAGGCATCTGTGATAGCAAACACAAAGCCATCTGCCACTCGCCACCCTTTTCGCATGCGCTGATGCCAGCATTGAAGCTTATCTCATCTGCTATGACTCTAGCTGCAGGCATCTGTGATAGCAAACACAAAGCCATCTGCCACTCGCCACCNNCCTTTCTCACATGCGCTGATGCCAGCATTGAAGCTTATCTCGTCTGCTATGACCCTAGCTGCAGGCATCTGTGATAGCAAACACAAAGCCATCTGCCACTCGCCACCCTTTTCGCATGCGCTAATGGCTGCATTGAAGCTGAACTCGTTGGGAGCAGTGCTGACCGAGTTCATGTGTGACATGAGTCCCAGACCAAGCGTCCACTGGGAACCCTTCTCGCATGCAGAGATAGCCGCACTGAAGCTGTAGACATCAGGCACCACTTTGGCTACAGTGATATCCACCAGCACTTGGAGTGCCATCTGCCATTGTATGGCGCGTCCGCAGGAGATGATGGCCTGGCAATATCTCTTTTGGTCTGCCGCAGAGGGCTTGCTCTCCAATGCTTGGATTGCAGCTTGCCAATCTTTGTTGCCATGTCTGTTGCGAGGTGCCATGGAAAGCCGGGTACGACTGCAGCCTGCTGCGTTGTCAACACACCTAAGAACAACCCAGACCTGCCAAATAGCCATATTACTAATGGCCTACATACATACATACATACATACATACATACATACATACACCGAAACCCTAGCAAAATTACGCCGCCCTTGTAACATCACGTCTCAGGGTTGCAGAACTTGAAAACATCGCTATCTGCCGTGGGACCGGCACAAACATTGATTTAAACTGCTTTCTGGGGGCAGCTTACACTATGATTTTTCAGCAAACCCCTTGGACACAGCTACATCCCTATCTATCCAATATATGCCCGCTGGAAATACAACATGTACATATATGAGTAGCAGCCTGAACTCCTTATACACAGCTGCATAAAACATCTCAATTCTATCGCCAGTTTGAGGGGTCTATCGTTTGACAGGGTATTAGCACACTCAATGCAATTTTCAAACCCATCGCTTGGAATGATTTTGTGCGCTCCCCTGCTTGATGCTCCACATGTTTGCTTTTGGGTGGGGTCCTGGTAAGCTGTCAATTTTGGGGTATCATCTAGGTGGACCCCCCACCCAGTAATAGTGACTATAGGGGATACTAGGGATTATACTAGGGTCCTCTTATATTCCTACCATATCATTATTACAGGGTGGGGGGTCCTCCTAAGGTATCATTGTTGCGGGGGGGCGTTTTGCTAGATCTTTTCACTGGGGTGTGTTCCTGACAGGGTAATATCATCTCTGCCTGTAATTAGCTCCTACATGACAAGAACGCACCCCAAACCCTAACCCTAATCCCAAGTACAAACTACGCAGGTCGTGAGACGCTAGACCCCAGGCCCTAACCCTAAAAATCAACAATCCCACTGGCTCAAAATCTCAAAGGTCGCCCTAAACCCTACACCCTACTGCCTTGACTTCCCTAAGGAATAGGTGCTGCAAGTAAGCCACAGAACCCTCAATGCGATCGTCAGCCAAACGCCTTCCCTCCTGTCCTGATCCTCATCTGTACACTCCTAAGCCCTGAAACCTGAACTCTGAACCCTGGGGTTTGGGGCTCAAACCCTTACCCCTAAACGCCAAAAACCCCTAAACCCATGAAGCACTATAATCACCCTAAGCCCAAAATCCACTACCTCCTTGCCTTCCTGAACATCCTAAACTCCCAAGGACAAACATGGAAGCTGGAAGGCCACATCTTCCAAGGTTTAGGGTTTAGGGTTCAGGACTCCAGCCTTTGTTCGGCCCTATTTGGGCTTCCATGTTAGTTTGGGGCAGTATACACAGAAAACCTTGTTTATCACAATCCTATATATCCCTATATACTCCCACTCCCTAAACCCCAAACCCTAAAACCCTAGACCCTAAACCCATCCTAAACTCTAAGCCCTCAACCCTAAACCCCTAAACCCCTAAACCCCAAAGCCTAAATCATAAACCCCGTCCCGACGTATGGACTTTCGCAGAAGATGTCGCAGCTCTCCCCGGGCCTGGGAGAGTCCGATGCTATGTGGAGCATTCCCAAAATTAGGGTTTAGGGTTTAGGGCCCATTTTGGCACCTCTAAAAATTAGGTGTCGTAATATAATCCATAAGCAAAAGGGCCCATCATTTTGGCAACTGCTCATGTAGTACCCTCGGGATCCAAGTATACAAGCAGTGCCTACCCTCAAGTCTGTAAGTCTTACCTACATTGGGCCCTAAAGTCTGTAGGTACTACCTACATTGGGACATTTGGATCCCTAGGCGTAGGGTTTCAGGTCTAGGCCCTAAACCCTACATCCTAAATCCTAAATTAGCGTTTCCTGTTTAAGATTCAGGGTTGCTAGGTTCCCCTGTAACCCACTTAATAGTAAGGGTACCCTTTTTCTTACTGCTCAGTTTCAATAAGGATACCCCAAAACAAGAAGGCAAAAAGGGTACGACTGGGGTACCTTGGTTAGGGGTGACCTACTTGCGGGGGTTAAGGCGGCTTTTTCAGGGGCATAAGGGGGCTTGAAGGGGTAGGCTTCTGTTAGCAAAAGGTTTTATGTTTAGGGTTTAGGGTTTAGGGCTTGGGGTTTGGGGTTTGAGACGATTTTGGTAGCCCCAGGGGGAATGATCTAACGTTTGTTGCCTTTGCCTCTGCTGCTCAACTTGCGTCCTTTAATGGGGAGTGATTTATGGGGATTGTTATGGAGATCCACACTCCTACTCCCTCTCAAGCACCCGTAAGTCAATGATGACATGGAGTCGTCATACGGAGGTGGTAGCTAAACTGGCTAAACCCTACTCCATGGCCGCTTGTGCATTCTCATTCTGGCACAGTTGGACCCTTGTGGCATGTCCCGCATGACCCTAACTGCCCCATAGCTTGGGAAATACAATCTTCTAGCGTGTTGAGCTTCAGGTCGTGAAGCATTTTCTAGCTATGCATAGGCCCCAGGCCCACAGTAGGTATTGCCTCAAGAAGTCGAGCCCCCCTCCGTTGACATTTCGCATGCAGGGGCCTAGATAATGAGAGGAGGGCTTTCGGGCACACTATTCTATACTTGTAAAAGCTTTGTCGGAACAATTGCCGTGATTCCTAAAGCTTCTACCGTACTGAATCACTGAGCATGCATCAGGAAAGCTCTGTAAAGAACATTACCCTTAATCTCCTCCCCTAATCACAACCATCGCCACCCTCCCGAAAAATACACATTCCCCCTCATGTATAATGGTACTATATTGCGGGGTGGGGGTTATTGGTTTTGAAGGGTTGGGAGTTTATTGTTTCGGGAAAGGGATCAATCACCCTAAGCTAGCCCTAAACCTTGAACCCTAATCCCCAAACCCAATACCCTAATCCCTAAGCCCTATATGACCCCTATATATCCTTTATAACCCCTATATAACCCCTACATATCCCTATGTATCCGCTAGCTAACTCCCATATGCCTCTCTGAGAAGCACTCCGAGCCTTAGTGCCTTGCATAACATCAGTGCAGTTGGAGGCATCGTAGAGGCACGTGCTTTCCAACGACTGGCGCGCACGCGAAAAGATGGTTGAAGTTGAGTAGTTTAGGGTTTATGGCTTGGGGGTTTAGGGTGAAGGGGTCTAGGGCTCAAGGGTCTAGGGCTTAGGGCTTTAGGGTGAGGCCTTTAGAGCTTCAAGGTGGGGATGTTTACGGTTTTTAATCCAATTCAAAAGCTGGGAGCTAAGGGTTTAGGGTTTTGGTCTGGTCTCCATGATGACAACTAGCCATCTTGCAACAATTTCTAAACCTGAAGTGAGCTCAGTTAGTGACACTTCCTTCAAAGGCCACAACACACCCCCTACATAAGCCTATATAACTCCTATCACCTATATAACACCCTATATATATCCCCTATAAATCCTATAAGTACCCCCCAATAAACCCTTTAAGTCCTATAAATAAACTCCAATAAAGCCTTTATACCTCGTCTATCCGAGGAGAGCCTGACCACCTCTAGGGTTCGTGGTCTTAAGTTCCTGGGGTTTAGGGGCTTAGGGTTTAGGTATTTAGGGTTTAGGGTTTAGGTATTTAGGGCTTAGGGATTTAGGGTTTAGGGTTTAGGGGTTTAGGGCTTAGGCTTTAGAGCCTACTCTATGTAGGTCTAAGCACCCAATATTAGGGGCCATATAGCCCCGCCTAAGGGTGCAAGGAGGGTCCCGGTGTCCATGCCCTCTTCCACTCATTAAGCCCCTCAGAAGTTGCTTCCATCTTCTTTCCGATTCCTACACACAAAGCCGAAACCCTACACCCTGCATAGTAGCTTCCCTTTTTCCAGTGTTACACACATGAAAATGCTAGGGTCTTGAGGAACCGCGGAATAAAACGAGGCCGTTGATAGTTCTGGCCGGCATAGTTCTGTGAGTAGTCTAGGAGCACAAAAATGGGAAAAGAGACCTATTCAGGAACTTGTAACTCCTATATCATTCCTGCATCCCCCTTAATATCCCCTATAGTGGTCCCCTATATAATCCCCTTTATATAACCCCCCTTTAAGGAGTTAAGACTATGGTTCATATAGTCCCTGCATGATATAGGATTTTACATGTTCCCCATCATGGCGGCTTCCGTTGTTTCCGGTTCCTACACTCTAAGTAAACCCCAAATGTCCGTATAACGCCTTTTAACAGGTCCCTAGAAACCTTGTGATACGTCCCCCCCCCTGCCCTGGAAGTAGGCCTCGAAACTGCAAACCCTCCCCAGACTCACTGCCACTGCGCCTCGCAGGGAAGGAGTTGTTCACAACCGGTGAGATGCACATCCAATGTGCAGTCCTGGGCTTGTCTTGAGCCCCAGAAATCCAAAGGGTCTAGGGTCGGGCTCTGAGGCTTAGGGTTTGAGGACTAGGGTTTAGGGTTTAGGCTTGGGATCTATGGTCTAGGGTGTGGGGTTTAGTGTAGGCGCTAAGGGCTCAGGGTCCAGGAGCTCAGGGCTTCTAGGGAATAGGATTTAAGGTCCAGTCCAATATTCCCTAGACCCCAACCGTAAACCCCAATTTATGTTCAAGGTTCATGTGCTCCATTGAGA